ATATACATTAAACGCTCAGATACATTGTAACCCTGTCAAGGGAGATAGATAGTTTAGGTACTCAAAAGCGTATAAGAGTATTGCAGAACACAAAACTGAAGGTTAGCTTACAATAATGTGCTAAGAGGCAAATGATTTTGAAATGCTGACAGAACATGTTACTTTTCCTGGCTGACACAAATATTTGTAATTTTTGATCTTGCATCATTGTGTTTACATTTGAAGCTTCATTTACCAGAAATGTCTATTATTCTTTTTCATTCCAGACCAAAGTCCTTTAGTTGTTCATCCTTATCACTTTTTATCATTTCACCAATAAAGATATGGATACAGATTCAACCAGGTATTAGTTTTTAGAAGAAGAAAGGAAATTTAGAATGAGTAACGGAAATAAAATGTTGGGTTTTATCTGGTGCAATTTAACTGTTTATGTGGACACACACACGTCATTATTGAATTATGTTTTTTTTCCTTTAGGTTCAATCACAATTTTTAATATATGGAATATTTTCCACATGCCACACACATGCTTTTTTGATACAAAATTACAACCGTTTTCATAAAACGGTTTTTACATTAAATATAAGTAATTAAATAATGCACTCTTAAAAAAAATGTAAATTAAATAAAAATCTATATATATCATACAGTCTATGAACTCATAAAAATCTAATAAAATAACTACTTTGTTTTTCTTTGATTTTAACTTAAGAAATTGATTAAAAGTGATTGAAAAATACATTTTTTAAATATAAGACTACTATACAAATGATCAGATGCTCAGAAAATGGGTTAAGAAAATGTTTAGCCACCTGTTAAATCTGCAAAATTTTGTCAAAAGTCAGGTAGGCTCTCTCATTGTTCAGTTTTTGGTAAACTTTACTAATCTGACATATCTAGAAGAAATCTGTTCTGTGTGGCCAGTCTAAATGGCTAAACAGATTACAATCTCAATTTACAATCTGTGTAACACACCTCCATTACATTTACCAACAACCATCTAGTTTGAGGACCTACTACCTAAATTGTCTAGTGTGTTTATATATTTAATCATGTAATCCATCATATTACATTGTTGATAAATCCAAAAGAGATTGTGTAATCAGATTGTGACATTTGAGACAAGCTAATAGGTTGAAAGCATTTCCACCTTCTCTATTGTTCTGGTATAGCTTAATGCCTGGTACACATGATGAGAATAACAGAAGCATGATTGTCCATATTTTATTTGTATGGTAATCTCATACTGTGGCGTAATGTGGGTTGTCAGAAAAAGCAAGTAATTTGCGCCCCCTAACCTGTGGGCTTACCTATTCCCAGCTTGCTCCAGTCTGGTCACAATGATCCCCTGTGGCAGCGGTGGCTGCAGACGAGAGAAGAGAGCACTAGATAATGGCTGGTAAAGCCTGAAATAGTGACATCACCCATAGGTTCCCATGTCCCATCTGTTGTTGGCACTCCCTCCTCTCCCATGCATACACCACTGGCTCACACATAGAATAACGTGACCGGACTGGAGTAGCCTGAAAATAGCTATATACATCTTTTCTACACAGGTAGCCACTAGCCAGCATAAGCGTTAGGAGAGGGGATAGTAGAATGTTTAAGGCTAGTTAGGTTTAAAACTGCAAATTTTACTTTAACCAATTCCCATTGGTGGACATTGGCAGAACTGCAGTAATTGACCACTTTGTGTTGCATTAGTGGCCACTGGCAGTGTTTTTTGACCCCTTAATTAATACTGACACTGGTGCCACTAATGCAGCACAAAATAAAATAACTGTCACTGGTCACTAATCCATCAGTGAGCAGTGGCAGAACATTAACCCCTTCTTGCTGCACTTTACTTACAACATTGTTAATGAACCCTTCACCCCCCCCCCCCCCCCCCCCCCCAAGAGTTAACTAGTCCAGTTCACAGGAAAGAGAGATGGGGGGTGAGAGAGAGTGTAGGTTGAGAGAGAAAAGGGGGTGGGGGGGATAAAAAAAGATAGGGGATGAGAGAGGGAGAGGAGGGTAGGAGAGTGAGGTAGTTTAAAGGGTCTGAGAGAGAGGGGAGGGAGAGACAGAGAGAGATAGGGGGAGAGAGAGAGAGAGGTAAGAGAGATAGGGGGGTGAGAGGGAGGGAGAAAGGGGTGAGAAAGAAAGTGGTTGAGAGTGAAAGTGGGATGAGAAAGAGAAGGGGGTGAGAGAGAGAAGGGGGTGAGTAGGGGAGAGATAAGGGGGGGTGAGAGAGAGAGGGGGGGGTAAGAGATAGGGGGTAAGAGAGGGAGGGGAAGAGAGAGGGGAGAGAAAGAGGGGTGGTGAAAAGGGGCTGAAAGGGGGTTACAGAGAGAAAAAAAGAGGGAGGGTTGAGAGAGAGAAAGGGGGTGAAAGAGAAGGGGGTGAGAGAGCAAGGGGGGTGAGAGAGAAGGGGATTAGAGAGTGGGGGTGTGAAACAGAGAGAAGGGTTGAGAGAGAGAGGGGAGTGAAAGGAGAGGGGGGGGATGAGAGAGAGATCCCTAGCCCTTTCTGCAGTCCCTCCTCTGCCCCATGTCCCAGTCTCTGTCTGTAGGTAGGTGTGTATTATGTCTGGTACCTTCCATGCCAGTAGGCGCCTGTACCTCCCGCCTGTCCGCCAGTCAGCCTTTCCTACGGACTGCTGTCACTGTTGGAGTGGAGAGGAGGTTAGAGAAGGAATCCAGTCTCTGGGAGGTGCCGCCATGCAGGAGATACATTGAAACCTACGTCCGAGCTCTCAGGACTAGCTGCCCTCACTGTTCATATCCCGGGGGCCCACCACACTATGCCAGTGGTCTCATATAAAAATAAATAGGTTACTAGAGTTACAAAAATTCTCATAAGATGGCATACAACTTCCCGTGATAATGTATTTTATTGTATTGTAATGTGTTATTTTGTTTCCAAGCATGCGCTGTCTTGGCACCTGGTTTTTTACAGATGAATACTGTACTGATTAACCACTTCACATCTGCCCATGTACATAAATGGCTGGAAGGGAGCAGTGCAGGAGTGGGTGGCTGTTTATAAACGTCCTCCCGCATTCCCTGCCTGTGCGCGTTCCCTGGGAGTGCTTGGCACCACGATCCAGTGCCCGCTGTGTTCTCCGGACACAGTGGAACACCGATCGCTGTATGGGACCTCTATGTGAGGTCCCGATCATGTGATCACTGATTGACCAATCAGTGATCACATGAATAGTAGTAAGCAAGATGTCACCAATCACAGCTCTCACAGTATTTCTCAATGGCTGCAAGAATGCAGCCAGAGAGAAGGAAAAATGATTGCTTTTACAGCCTTTATGGGTATAAAAGCAATCAGTATTAAAAAATAAATCTTCATCACCCCCCCACTATGGAGGCATTGTACTGCTGGGGTGACAGTATGTTAAAAAAAAAACAAATAGTAATATAAAAAAATTAAATAAAAATGTAAAAAAAAATGTTTTAACAAAAAAATTATAATTTTTGGTTATAAACTAATTTGGGTTATTGGTTTTTTACTAAAAAGATAGCTGAATACATTTTGGCCAATATTTATGAAGAAAGATTATTTATTTGCAAAATTTTATAAGAAAAACTTTTTTTTAAAATTTTGGGACTTTCATTTATATAGCATAAAAATAAAAATCCCAGTGGTGAATAAATACCACCAAAATAAAGTTTTATCTGTCTCAAAAAAATGCTAAAAAATTCATATGGGTACAGTGTTGCATGACCGCGCAATTGTCATTCAAAGTGTGATAGCACTGAAAGCTGAAAGTTGTCTGGACAGGAAGGGGGTGAAAGTTTCCGGACAAAAAACTGTTCACTCTGTTATCTTACTAGAAAAAAAATTTGTGCTTGTCCTTTCGGATGCACTTTCACATGATCTGTCATGATCGTCTCTCGAGAGCTGTGTGCTAACAATCAGATTAATAGACAATCACTCTGAAAGCAGGATTTTTTCTTTTGATATTCTCATAGTATGTACTAGGCATAAGAAATAAAGGGGTTTCTATAACTTGTTTGAAACATACACATATGTTTTTAAATGAAGTGCTTGGCAAACATTTCAATGCCTACTAAGTCCAATCTAACCCTCATACTGCCAGGTTGAAAAGTTTTTACTGATCACAAAAATTTCCCTCACTTGTTTGTATTTATTTATTTTTTAAGCAGGTCTATATTGTCATCTTGGACAATTGGAGACATTTCTTCTCATGTACTGTCCTGATTAAACCATTAATGTAAGGATATGACTGGTTGTTACCAGAACAGGAAGGGATGGAAAATCAGGAAAACAGAAAGCAATGTAAACTAGACAGCAGTTCAAACCCTTTCACGTTCCGTCCTAAATTAAATTTAAAAAAGTTTTGAGTGGAGTATGTGCCTTTTTACCAGATGTTTTTGGTGAAATTACTATGACAATAACATTTTTAACTTCAGCCCTTAATGACTTCAACACCCAGGTGCAATTTAGCATGTACAGTAGGTCATTTTAAATGGAACAATAAGTAACATCTTTATTGTACAACCGGCATGCAACAAAAAGAAAATATTATAGAAAGGTAACAATGGGACACATGTGCAAGAAAAATAATGAGAATATTGCTCAGATGAGGCCAGACAGCAGTGTAGGTTGTTTAAGAATCAATGAAGTAACAGCTCTGGAGAAAACAGAAGACTAAAGAGGAACCTGGGGACTGTTTTTAAAAAGTGTTCTAATGGTGATCAAAGAATTCATGGATGTCAAGAAGTCAAAGCAAACCTTATATGATCTTTTGTTTAGTTAAAGCTGGTAAAGTGTCAATAAACAATTCCCAGACTTTAACCACCTTCCTTCCGCCCTATAGTACAATGACGGGCGCAAGGTGGCTCTCTCGTTCTGATAGGACGTCATATGATGTCCTACCATTCTCACTGCGCATGCGCGGCTCAGGGAGCGCGCAGCGCAGCGATATCCGGTGCGCTGTGTCCCTCGGATACAGCGGATCACGGAAAGAGCCGAAGATGTTGGCTCGGTCATGTGATCAGCTGTGTCCAATCACAGCTGATCACATGTAAACACGGAAATGCCGGTTATCGGCATTTCTCTCCTCTCAAGCTGTCACGCTGACAGCTCGAGAGGAGAGGAGAGCCCGTAATTGGCTTTCTGCGGAGGGGACATGTACACTGATCATCAGTGTGGCCCCAGAAGTGCCACCTGTCAGTGCTCATCAGTGCCATGTGCCAGTGCCCATCAGTGCCACATGCCAATGTTGCACATCAATGTCACATATCAGTGCACATCAATGCCACATATCAGTGCCCATCTGAGCTGCCTTTCAATGTCACCCATCAGTGCCAGTCAGTGCCACCTATCAGTGCTGCCAATCAGTGCCACCTATCAGTGCCAGTCAGTGCCGCCTATCAGTGCCAGTCAGTGCCGCCTATCAGTGCCAGTCAGTGCCGCCTATCAGTGCCATGTATCAGTGTCATGTATCAGTGCTGCCTTTCAGTGCCCATCAGTGATGCCTGTCAATGCCGATCAGTGCAACCTACCAGTGCCTCCTCATCAGTGCCCATCAGTGCCACCTATCAGTGTCCATCAGTGCAGCCTATCAGTGCCCATCACTGCAGCCTCATTAGCGCACATCAGTGAAGGAGAAAAATCACTTATTTACAAAACTGTATAACAAAAACTAAGAACATTTATTTTTTTCAAAATTTTCATGGTTATTGGTTTGTTTAAGAAAAAATAAAAATCCCAGAGGTGATTAAATATCACCAAAAGAAAGCTCTGTCTCAAAAAAAATGATAAAAATGCCATATGGGTACAGTGTTGCATGACCGCGCAATTGTCATTCAAAGTGTGACAGCGCTGAAAGCTGGAAATTGGCCTGGGCAGGAAGGGGGTATAAGTGCCCTGTAGGCTAGTGGTTAAAGAACTTTTGTGTTCATGTCTCCTTCCACAGAGTTGTCTCTGCCCAGACCATTTGAAAAAGGAACATCAACTTATCCAAGAAGAGATTTCATGAAGGTGGATTAAGATACAGTCAATAAATTTGTGTAATATAACTTTTTTCACCCCTAAAGATATAATGGCTTTTTTTCTATAGGCTACCATCACTTCAATAAATTGAAACCTTGCACCAAAGAAATAACAATCAATCAAAATAAATGCTGCTGTTCAAAAATTGACAAAACATAAAACAAGACTCATAAGGTAACACAGCGCAAATAATAAAGAATAAAATTTAAAATTATAATATATAAGTCCAAAAAAAGTCCCAAATTAAAGTCCAGTGTCCCAAAAAATGTTATAAAATGAAAAAAAACACAAAACAATTTCATAAATTTTCCAGCGTGCTGACATCAGTGGTGAATAATTTCCCCCACACTCACCGAATAAAGTGGATTCTCAAGCTGATAAGGCTTTGAGAATCAAAACAGGCTTAGAGGTGGAGTGTAGTTTACTCAAATGTTTATCCCTTTATCAATTTCTTACTGAATCTCCTTACAAAAATGATTCCACATAGGGCGATATAAAATATAAAAGAAAATGCTGATAGTGTAATACTGTATGAGGCTCAGAAAAACTTTCAAAAGACCTTCATTGCAGTCACATTTGGTAGATTTATAACCAGCTTACATGGACATAAAAGCCTTCCAAACAACCAATAATGATCCCACCTTAACTTCCTCCAAGCTCTCACTCATGGATGGATGGATGGATGGATGAGGGTGACCAGCTTATATGGACATGAAAGCCTCCCAAGCTAATAATTCCTCCTTGATTTCCCCCAAACTTTCGCTTATGGATGGATGGATGAAAATGCAAAAGAAAGGATACCAAATAGCTTAATACTGCATAAAAAACTTTTTAATATTAAAGTGATGCTTCCAATCCACTCGCATTTTAAAATTGAATAACAAGCCTTTTTTTAATTAGATCAGGACTCCTTAAACAGGTTAAAAACAGCCCCTCTGACATTTCCAGCAAAGCAGACACAATTCACCAGCATTGGCAGAGATGAACTGGCAGTAGTGGAGAAATCAGATTGTCTTTCCCACACTAAAGATGGCCGCGGAACACCGTATCAGCGTGCGTTCCACTCACCGGATATCACATCACAAGTACAAGGTCGGAACCGGACGTTACATCAACGCATTTCGCCCCTCCTACAAGGCATCGTCACGGACACTGGACTTTAATTTGGGACTTTTTCTGGACTTATATATTATAATTTTAGATTTTATTCTTTAATATTTGCACTGTGTCACCTTATATGTACCATCACTTTAGCTCAATGTAAGTCCAAGACACCCAGGAACACCCATACAGGAGTAAAAAAAGGAAGTAATTCATCAGGTGATCAGTGGTGGATGTTTTCAAGAAGCAAAAGCATGATATAGGCCCACAGAGTTATAATACTTAGGATATTTAGAAGAATGACATAATAAATATTTCAGTACTACTATACACCTAAAGAAAATACTGTAAGAGTACCACGGGTGCTTTAGTAAGGTAACTGTAGAATAGTTTCATTTTAATTGTCAGGAATAAAATCCTTGTATTAACCAGTTCCCAACCACGCTATAGCCGAAGGACAACTACAGCGCAGTTGTGTAATCCTGGGACGATGGCTATGGACGTCATTCCAGAACACGCCCCCCTGCACGTCCCCAGCAATGTGGACCCGGTGCCGCCGGTGATCGCCGTGTCCTATGGGCACAGCTGATCACGTGATACAGTAAACGGCCAATCACGGTGGCCTTTTACCACGTGATCAGCTGTGTCCAATGACACAGCAGATCACAGGGTAAATACAGTTGCCTGTTATAGGATGCACTTTCCTCATGATGTACCAGCATGAGGGAAGTACTGCTGAGAACCAGCAATTGTCAGTGAAGGGATTGGAAATTGATCATCAGTCTTCTGATGATCAGTGTCCTGATGATCAGTGCCACCCACCTCTGCCCTGCAGTGCCACCCATATGTGCCCATCAGTGCCACCCACCCAATGCCCTGCAGTGCCAGCCACCTGTGCCCATTAGTGCCAGCCACCTGTGCCCATCAGTGCTACCTAGCACTGCCACCCATCAGTGTCCAGCAGTGACGCCCATCAGTGCTACCCATCAGTGCCACCCATCGGTTCCCAGCAGTGCCACCCATCAGTGCATCATTAGTGCTGCCCATCAGTGCTGCCTATACGTGCCACCTCATCAGTGCTGCCTATCAGTGTCCATCAATGCTGCCTATCAGTGTCCATCAATGCACATCAGTGATGGAGAAAATTTTTTGTTTTCAGCACAAAAAATAAAACACACCGCAGCAACTAAATACCACCAAAAGAAAGCTCTATTTGTGTGAAAAATTTTTTATAAAAATTCATATGGGTACAGTGTTGCATGACCGCAATTGTCATTCAAAGTTCGATAGTGCTGAAAGCTGAAAATTGGCCTGGACAGGAAGGGGGTATAAGTGCCCAGTAGGAAAGTGGTTTATATGTGATACTGTAGATACTGTAAATGTCTGATTTACTTATCAAAGTGAAATGTATTCATTTGTGATGCAGAATTTTTTTTTATGCAGTAAATATTTTTGTATTATTCTCCCTGACAGGTTGTAATTAAAACCTAAACTAAAAGAAAGTTTGGGGCAGGTCTGTGTCCCACTGTAATCATTATAGCAAGTGACTTTGCATTACCAGATCATTTACATACCATACTCACTTACATTCACATTTTATAGATACAGTGTGGGTGTAAATCCTCTAATCCATAATCACTTCTAAACACATGGCATGCAGTTTAATCACTCCAATCTACTGTAAATAGTCTACACATCAGTAAATATAAGGTAGATATTTTATATGCCTCATAAAAATAATATCATGCAGGTTTAAAAATCTAAATGTCATGTCTTCAATCTCAAGAAACGTTTCCTTTTGATTGTGTCTCCTTGATAGGATCCAGGAAGTCATGCAGACTTCCTTTAAAATGACTCATGTTTTATTTTGTAGTGACTACTGAAGTCAGCTGTAAATGTCCTCTGGGCACTTGAGCTTGTAAAACCTTAACGTCATATCGCTCTATAACAGTAACTGTGATGAGTCCTTGCTACTCACCCATATTACAAAATCCCCTTTCGACACTATATTGAAATCTGCAATGATTGCTGCTAAATAGTGATACATTCTATGTAATAGAAACAAATTAAAGATTCTGAAATTGTTAGACTGAAGCATGTCTCAAAATTAAACAATATATTAATGACAATCAGCTATTGATATGTTGCTGTTGAGACCTAATTTAACAGCAACAGCATGCTACTTGAATAATTCTGTGACCAATTTTCCTACCTAAATAAAAAATTTACAGTGTTTAAGACATATAAGGCTTTTTTGGTGGTAGTGATGAATGCAACATTTAATTGGACTTGATTTAGCTATGATATTAGTGGTATCTTGTTCACCAAATTTTAAGTTAACACAAATTTGTCCCTTTTGTCACTCCATCCATTTTATTTGAAAAAATGTGTTTTGTGTTTGTTTACAAAACCCATTCTAATACTAACCTGTCAATTGTCCTCTTCTAACCTACTCTATGTCTATTAAATAATCTGTGCTTGCTCAGTGTAGAATCTTGGCTTGCCTCTGTGCTGGAATGAATTAACTCTCATGCTCACTTGCATGTCAACTCAGGCCAGTCAATCAAGATGACCGAAGACATTAAGTACGGAATAAGATGAGGTATGATATTAGCAGCAGCAAGAAAGCTTGTGGATTACATTACTAGATGGGAGTAAAGTATAGTTCCGGTTTAAGACAAAGAATATGAAAAAAATAAATAAATAAATGAATATGTTCATGCCTTTTCCCTTTTTGATATTTTTTGGAATATTTTGTGGTTATTTGAAGTTTTTATGGATGGTTTTGGATTCCAAATAATAACCTGAAAGCTTACCTTTGTAACATGTAACATGTTCTACCCTCCTGCTGCATCTCCCCCACAAATTCAAAAAAAAGCGTGGGCTTATAGGGCACCATCCACAAGGGTGCATCATTCATTCACAGTTTGCTATGAATGAATGAACAACAAGTACTGTAAGACACCAACAGCCATCTCTGTTCTTGTTCATTCATAGCAAACTGTGAATGAATGATGCACCCTTGTGGTGTAGTTCTGAATGAACTGCAAGGGCACTGATGATTACCCTTGTAGTTCATTCACAAGCCCTGCAGCTTTCAAACAGAAAACCCATATGGAGGTACAGGCTGAAAACTGAAGCCTGAAATTTCAGACTACTTGAGCAAGCATATTGCATGTGGAAATGAAAATTGGTGTTTTTTTTGTTTGAAATTGGAAAAAAAGAACACAATTTATGATCTGAGGGGCATATCTGGAAACTAATTAATTCGGTTCCTTTTGCTTTTTATTGAAAATATAAACATTGTACAAGTTT